CATTCATTTTAAATGTTTTTAAATCAGCAAATATTCAGTGCATTTTTGACTATATAATATTCTCAAAGGTAGAAAGTGTGTCCTCCATACTGCTACAGGTTGTCTTCATTCAAAATCCACCCCTAGCTGGATTGCAGGCCACAAATTTTTCAAAACTAAACGTCAATCTAAAAATACCACAAACAATAGAAGAATTAGTTTCAGTTACTGATAATTACAAAATGCACATAAGCATAAGGGCACAGTCTAGAGTATAAAAAATTAAAACAAATAAAAATAGTAAAAATTGCAAGCACTCATGCTAATAGATTGTTTCCTTCAGTTCAGTTATGATATCATTCATTGTTGGACGTTGTCTATACTCAACTATCAGGCAACATTGAACAAGAGACCTAAACGAGGCTCTTCTAATACCATCAATAAGAGCTCTCCTTTCATCTGGTAATGGTATACGACGTGATACCATCTCTACAAGGAGGACACCATAACTGAAGACATCCATTGCAGGAGAGTGTTCCCTTGGATTGGCTGCTTCAGGTGCTGAATAGACAGGATTACCAGGATTAGTGGTCCTGTCAATGAAAGGTTGGCCATAGTCTGATAGCTTGGCTCTCCATCCATGGCCTATTGACTGAAGGAGTACATTAGCACTGCTGACATCTCTGTGCAGTATAGGATGAGGCTTGAAGAGATGAAGGTAATTGAGAGCAAAGGCTACATCTAAACTGATGTCTAATACAGCATGATAGGCCAGTCCTCCAGTCTCTAATTCCTTTCTTAGGCTGGTCGGCATTAGCTCTGTCAGGATGATTGGATTACCCTCTGTAGTGGCTCCTATGAACTGAAGGAGGTTAGGATGACGTATTTTAGAAGCTATATTGATGTCACGAGAGAACAGTGATAGATTATATTCTGAAATGATGGTGTCATGAAGGACCTTTGCAGCAACTTCCAGTCCATGGAAACTAGCTACTCTGACCTCTGCCCATCCTCCTCTACCAAGAACTCTTCCTGTCATTATAATATCATTCCTACTCACTATCCATGAAGACTCTCTCTCCCTCAGCTCATGCTCATCCCTCTCTCTTAACTGTTGCTGAAGTTGTCTTTCTGTTTCTTGAAGTTGTTGTTGAAGATTCTGTTCTCTCTCCCTTCCCTCTTGAACTTCTTGCTGAAGCTGCTGCTGTAGATTCAGGGCTTGTTGAACCTCCCTCTCCCTTCCTTGGACTTCTTGTTGAAGCTGTGTCTGGAGTTGTTGCTCTCTCTCTTCGCTTTCTCTTTCTTGTTGTCTTAGTATTTGATTCTTCTCTTCCTGAGCTCTTTCTATTTCTCTTTGAAGCTGTTGCTCTCTTTCTTGAGATTCCCTCTCTCTTGATTCAAGTTGTTCCTGTAGTCTGGTTCTAACTTGTTCCTTTTCTATTCTCTCCTCCTTTAGTTCTCTTTCCCTTTCTTGCAGTAAACGTGTCAGGCGATCTATTTCTCTTCTGTCCTTCTGAAGTTCCCTTCCTTTTTCTTGTAGCTGTTGAGTTGGTAGTTTTGTTTCTCTTTCCTTGTTTTGATGATGATGAGGTTGGACAGGTTGAGATGCTTCCCATTCTCTTCTCCTTTCTCGTAGTTTCTCTTGATATTGGTCCAAAGGTGTTAAAGGTATTTCACTAACAGACCAATTATTATCAATATATCCTATACAATACAGTGTTAAAAATTAAAATTGAAAAAGAATCCAATCTTAATAGTACTTGTTGTACCGGTAGGAGTCCATGATGACTACTAGAGCACCAGTACATATAATTTAATTTTAATCATCTTGCAATCTATATTGGTTTATATGGATTTTATTCACAAAACTCATGCATATCTCACAACCGTGCATGGAAATTCATACCGGGAAATTTTTGTTATCAAGAGACAAATTTTCACAAAAATTGTCATGAATGGTCAATAAAGCACACATGGTTGAGTTCACATGAAATTTTTGCATTTCGAGAGAGAGCAAAAATTTGCAACATTTGCAAAATTTTGCACTGATAAAATTTTTCAGTATATGGTATGTCATAAAAAAAAGCGTATTATCAAGTACTCTTGATATTAGACATGTACATGTATTTATGATGCTTAAAATGCAAATGAAGCATGTCTGCATGTTTGCTCATATACATGTAATTATTATATTAATGCAAAAGTAATCAATGCCTAATGAATGACATAATAAGCCATCTCTTTCATTCTGACATTAGAAAACAACAACATTCACTGTCCCAAATACAGTGAGACATACATAATGATTGTTAAATTATTATTTACATGTACATACATGTACTTACTGAGTTCAATAACTGCTGTATCTTTGTATCTAGAACCTCCTCCAAACACAATTATCCAGTCAATGGTTGGTGTTATACTCCACACTGACATAGAATGACACCGTCTATCAGTGACTCTTGTTGGTAAATTTGACTATTAGAATTAAAAGACTAATAAAACCATCAGTTGACAAACACTTATGAATAGTAGACTTGTAGGGGAAGGGTCATTTTGTACAGACAAGAATTACAAATCAAATAATCAAATAGCTAGATCTATATAGGTATCTTGTCTACCAGCAGGTATCTTCATGTATACTGTAGGGTAATTAAACAACAAGAAGTGAACTCTTTTCAAAAATTTTTTAAAAATTATAATTACTTGTCTCATTATTTCATCAACTGTACATGTACATGTACATGTACATGTACATGTACCATATACATTATATGTTAAAAACTTAATCACCACTAATTGATCATGATTTATCAAAATAAAGGCCTTTTCACACTGGCAAAAGTAATGCGCATTGATGCGCATTAATCACGTTCACACTAGAGTGGTTTCAAATTAATGCGCATCACTCTCACTTTACCTCCAGAGGTGAATTGATGTGAAGTGATGCGCTTTGATCAATGTAAACCAATGGCAACAAGAACACAAAATGATACATAATTTAGCTGCTAGTGTGAACACGATCAATGCGCATTATTTCAGCTGTATCAACAAAGCGCATCAAAGCACTTTGAAAACTGTGCCAGTGTGAAAAGGCCTTAAAACCCACTATGTCCATGCTCAATGACACGACTACAAATCACTGGCAATTTATTGTTCAAAATTGTTCTCTTACGCTTCATAATACTTACCAGTTGTTTCCACCTTCGTTTATTAACATCAAGTAACCAGCAATCATCTTTAGAATATCCACCCACCACTAGTAGGTGTGGTCCTAATTTACTATTAATAAATACACTGGAATGAGCATACTGTTTCTTAGGCTTTTGTACTGATACTCCAAGATTAGAGAAATTCTAAATAATAAACAAATCAATAATAGTATAACGATACATTACTAATAATACACTTACAACTGATGTGTGGCTAAAATTAACAATATAAGTATTGTTACTGGATCCATTAGGAGTAGCCCCACCAAACAATATGGCACAGTCATTGGTAATTGATGTTAAAGTAAAGTAACTGGTAGGAGGTGGCCTGTCTCCAGTAACATTAGGCGAACTCCATTTACCTAATAATAATAGATAAACATTAATACACACATACATTGTACTTATCACAATCATACAATACACAAATACACACACACACACACACACACACATTCTAATGAGTATACTACAATATACATTGGAAGACACATAAACATTTATACTAACCAGATGATAGTTTATAATAATGAATCTCATTAGTTCGTTTAAGACCAGGAGCCATTCCTTTGCTGTTATACTGAGCATTAGGTTGTGTGGGTGTATTGTTAGAAGATGGTCCTTGTCCTCCAATTACTGCTAGATAATCCTTACCGTTCAGTTGAAATGCTACCATGCTACAGTGGGCTTTTATCATTGGTCCATGATGAGGAGTAGTAGGCGAGAGTTCCCTCCAAGTGAATGTATCAACATTAAAACTGTACAGGCTATTATGATAACAGCTATCATGATTACACCCTCCACCAAAATAAAATATCTCATTTCCAATGGCAGCAGATACATAGCCTAAGATACCCAGTGGAGGATTACCAGTGGTGGGTTTCTGCTCCCATCTACTAGTAGGTAAATGGTATACCTCCATTAATGATGACAGTGCTTTCTTCTTATCATTATTGTGCATGTACTTTAGGGAGATCAGGCTGGTCCCCACCCCACATATATAAGTAATCTCCTACTCTTACTGTAGAGTGGAGCCTCCTCTTCACTGGTTTATAGTCTATAAATAACAAGAGGCAACAATAGTAACTATGTCATAATCAAACATTTAGATTTTGCAGTGACTCCTAACATG